CCCACCGCCAACTCTTGGGCTACTCTTTTACCAACGAATAGTGGGATTGACCGTCACATTATAACGACCCCACGGCTGAATGGTTGAGCATGTTTGATGTGACGGGGATTCGAACCCGCGACCCTCAGATTGCGAGTCGAGCGCCTTTACCGCCTGGCCTGTTTGTCTGGTTTAGAGCAAAGCCACATTGTGCTACTGCTTTGTCCACCGCGGGGAATTGAACCCGGATTTTAGCATTGTAAGTCCTTAAACTTACCACTGTTCCATTATTTCAAGAGTTGGCACAAGAAATACTGAAGTAACCACATAAAACAATGGTTGAAACAAAAACAATACCGAAACAATACTAATGCATACAAACAATTTATTGAACAATAACGCTTAAGGTTGCGTCGTCGGAATAAAAGTTTATAACCATTCTTTCTCAACAATATTTTACAGAAACTATGGTTGAAACAAAAACAATACTAATGCATACAAACAATTTATTAAACAATAACACTTGAGGTTGCGTCGTTGGAATAAAATATTATAACAATTCTTTCTCAACAATATTTTACAGAAACTATGGTTGAAACAAAAACAATACTAATGCATACAAACAATTTATTAAACAATAACACTTAAGGTTGCGTCGTTGGAATAAAATATTATAACAATTCTATCTGAACAATGTTTTACAGAAACTTAGTTACACTTACACAACGGAAACTGAATGTATTTACGCTGGAAATTACTCCAATACCGCTAATAGAATTAACATAATCTACGGAATTGGGGACATTTGATCCTTCAAGGTTGTCCTTGAGAAAAAAAAAATCCACCCTTCACTTCCAGGAAATAATCAATTCTCTTATATACTCCTTTAAAATGCCGACCTTCACTGCATCCGACGAACACTCATTCAATAAGCCAATCACCCCTTTGTAAGAAAAATAAAACAGTCTTACCCGGAGCCTAGCCTACTTTTTACAAATTTTAAACTTGTGTTCTCTCATCCTAATGCCTTCAAAATACAACACAAAGAAATCACAGGCATTTTCCCTATCCATTCCCCAGATGGTTTTTTCAAACTTTAATTAGATCACCCCTTTACAATAACGACGCTATAAAGCGTTCTGAGTAAGTTCAGTTTCAAATGCATGTTTAAGCACAGATTAATTACAATGCATAAATATGTATACTACGCTCACTTCTTGATAACTATTACCCATTTTCAGTTACCTTTCTGTTCCTAGTTAGTAAATACAACTTCTTAATAAATTATTGTACGATTTAGTTATTGTCCCCTAACTGTGAAGTTGAAATTAAAGGAAAAATGCTGCCAACCAGTTGCTTCGAAAATGATAAGTACTAGAAAAGAACTGTTTGTTTTTTATGAATTTCGCGCAAAGCTACACGAGGGCTATCTGCGGTAGCCGTCCATAATTTAGCAGTGTAAGACTAGAGGGAAGGCAACTAGTCATCACCACCCACCGTCAACTCTTGGGCTACTCTTTTACCAACGAACAGTTGGATTGACTGTCACAATCTAACGCCCACACGGCTGAAAGGGCGAACATGTTTGGTGGACGGAGATTTGAACCCGCGACTCACTGATTGCGAGTCGAGCGCCCCCTAACGACCTGGCCATGCCAGAAAAGAACAGGGAAAAAAGTTACAGTTGTATCATAACACTTGCACAGATTAGTCAACATATATATTACAACTATGTACATGGGTAAAATGATGTTACTCAATATTATGTATATTCACATTACAATACTTGATATTAAAACTGTTTAGAAAGTTACAAAAACTTAACTTTACGAAGGCGTTACTATACAAGTTACACAGTTCAGAGAAAATTTAAAAGAATTCTAATAAATCTTAAAAAATATAATACATTACGTCATTACGTGCACGGTTTTCTGTTTTTACAATCTTTAGCTAATACTTTGGGATACAAGTGACTATCGCCATCTGTTGTTAATATTAAAAATGAACTAGCAGAGTAAATTTTATATCCTTCTGTTAATTGAAATTAGCTTGTTTTAGTCCAAAACTTCAGATTAGGTGATCTGTGATACGTCTACCGTGGGGTTCTAAACCTTTACTCAAGTGTTATTACAAGCTTTCAAGCTGGAACCATGAAATTGGTAAAAATCAATGAATGCAATGTTATTAATTTTGTTGACATAATTCGTACAAATTGTTTGTTTTGAATTTCGCGCAAAGCTACACGAGGGATATCTGCGCTAGCCGCTCCTAATTTAGCAGTGTAAGACTAGAGGGAAGGCAGCTAGTCATCACCACCAACC